ACGAAGGGGGTGCTGTCAACCGGAGAGACCATTGTGGGAGTAAGTAGAGGAGTGTGCGGCGTGAGTGGCACGGTCAGCGGCGTCAAGGCGGGGACTGAGCAAGGGACCGCTTCGATATATGGACTGGACCACGACAAAGTGGAATCCATAGTAGCTGCTGTTGCTGGAGAGTCCATCGTTCAAAAGAAAGGAATATCGAAATGGAGGAGAGTTGGCGGCGAAGAGATGTCAAGCATTTAAGAAGCAAGAAGCTTGAGGATGGCAGCAGCGGTGATGATTGAGACCGGAAGTGGGATGGCTGTAGGGGAGTGAAGAATCCGTTGAAGTCTAGAGGAGCCATGACGAACTAAATAAAAGAGACCTGAGGGTCCCTATTATATATCCAGATGCAGTCAAGGTGCGCACGAACGGCTATGTCTTGCTGTGGTTTCGCGTCTGCTCTGCGTTAGATGTCGATTCTCAGGATGCAAGGTAAAGTTGCAAATAATACCCCAGTCGGACCTAAAACCTTAGCGTCAGAAAAAAAGCAAAATGATGGTTAAGACGGCCTTGAAAAAAGAAATAAATGTGAGCAAATGAGCCAAGGTGGATCAAAAATAGAAGCTAAGTACACAAATTAACCCGTGATGGGTGGGCAGTGTGGCTGCTGGCGCTGTGACGACCAGGAAAGATGCAGGCGCCGGGGTCAGGGGTTGATGCATACTCGCGCCGACCCTTTCGCCTCTCTTCTCCCCTTCCACCCTTCTTTACCTGGCTTGTCGCAGGTGTGTGAGCGTGTACGTACAGAACTAAAACGATCTTGAAACACTCATCACAGGCGCTGGCGGCTGGAACAGTTATCCTGGGCCCTTTACTGGCGGGCAGTTATGCAGGGCAGCGCCCCGATGCGCTGTTCCCTGGCCATAGAGCGGCCTTCGAGGGCGGAGCGCAAAGTCCAGAGTAAGGACACCTCTTAGCGCTCTCGAGTGATAGTCATGAGGGTCGGCGGTTAAGTGCACCATTGTCCTATTCTAAGAACTAGAACCACCGTGGTAGATGATATCGCCGCTGTTGACGTCGTCGTCGTCGCCAGAACGTTTGACGTTGAAGAGTTGAAGTCAGAAGAAGGCCAGCTGCTTACTCATTCACTTTTCACGTGATGGTTAAGCATCCATGGATGGATGGATGGTTATCTCCGTCCAAATTCCCGCGAGGTTGTGTTGTGAGGTGTACAGCACCGACACCGCTACGTCTTCGCGGCATCGCCATGAAGTATAGAGGGCAAGATAACGAGCTTGCAGTCTCTGTATCAGGTCTAAACGCCCGACGTTATGCAGACAAAGACATCTCGCTGGCAAGTTTCACGTCCAGGTACCTGCTCAATGTGTCCACCACAACCAACATTTAACCCAGCATTCCGAGTGGTCGGTACGCCGCCCAGGTCTTCATAACATCCGCCCAGCCCCCGTCTGCCAATGAGAACCAGCCTTGTATCCTAAATCAGGAACAAAAATAACCCAAAGAGCAAAACAAAATACAAGAAAATGACGACTAACTAGGCTGCTCATTGCACCCTACCAAAAACTTAGTTGGATTATTCGGGATTCTGAAACTAAGAATAACAACATGCAGCCGACTAAGGCACCTGCAGGATCCCGAGCAAGCGGACAGCCAGAGGAAACCCCAGGTTTGCCGCCGACAATCTGCAACCAATTTCATACTCGCTCTCACGCACAAAATCTTAACTTCAAAGTACCCAACCGCCAGGTCGCCGTGTTTCATCCATTCTCAGATAACCAAGTTTTGTGTCACTAGCCGCCCATCTATCAAGCAGCGGTTGACCTCTCTTCCCGGGAGAGGCCTGAGGTCGGCCACTCTATCCACTTTTCTTCTTTTTCTTTTTTCTTTTTCCCTCCCCTTTCACCTCTTGTCACCGATAGGTCCCTCCACTGTCGGCCCGTCCGTCCCAACACGCACGAACGAACCAACCAACCATCAAGTTTGAAATGTGGCTTCAGCTTTTGATCGGCTGTTATATCCGAGAAGGAGAACCGCCTTCTCAGAACCTATATTCGTATAATGTAGCTTTACACCCGCCAATCGCAAACGCATCACTCTACTCCTCCTACTGAAAGTTTCGTGTTGATTAATGCATGTATTCGGCTACTGTTTGCGAGAATTGGCCAAGGCCAGCCATCATGGTTGCTTGCTTGCTTACTTATATATCCTGGGTTATCTAGAGCCTGCAAATCCTTCATCATACGCATCCCCATGTCAGAGCTCACTAGGTGTCCGGGAACTCGATTCTATGCTTGTCTCAGCAGGGGTGTTGTGGGGCCGCCGCATGCCAACCGCCTTATGTCTGCGCTATCTCCTATCTGATACACTCTATAGTTATAGTTGTTCTACCTAGAATATTGTAGAAGCCGAAGAGCGAGTGAAGTCTAATTGTAAATATTTACTATGGCAACGGAGCATGCAAGCTGAAGCTTTCTACCGATCTAGTGAACTTGACAATGAGACTGATGAATAGTCTCGAGCTATCGTAATGCGTAGTCTCCGTTAGGTTAAGTTTCCCCCTTCGATTAATCATTCTCCAGCGTCGCTTACTACACCATATGCCTCGAGCTTCCAGGATTGAGGACGTTTCATGTTTATAGAGGGCGAAGGGCAGACCAAGGCCAAGCATACTACACATTACATACATATAAGCCAGGAAATTCTAGCCGTGCATGAGCTCTGCTCCACCTTAGTGCATAGCTTCCACCCGATGTACCATTATATCGTTTATGTATGTTTCGGAGTCCCTGCTTTCACTCTCCCCATCTCTGTTGTCCATGTTGTGCTCTAAATCAGAGTCCGCAGGCACACCAGGTGTGGCCCCAATCTATGTATATATCCTTGACGTTCAGAGTAGGAGTGCTGCGCAAAAACATGGAGTATGGCTACTGCCAACAGTACGGTTCACAGTAGAGTGGAAAGCCCACCCGGTTAACCGGTCAACACAGCCTCTTGTTCGCACTTTCCTTCGGTGTTTGTTTACTCTGGCCATCAAATGTGGGTAAATTAACTTAAAATAACTTTGCTAATAATAAACAGCCGCTAAGCCAAAAGCAGGCATGCTGAAAGAAGGTTCAATTAGATAAGTGCCATAAGTTCGATAAAAATAGTAACTTAACCCGCTAATGAATGCATGCCAAGCAGGATTAATACGACCTAATTAGCACTATTAATAAATAACACTAATTAGCCTGCTTTACTAATGCATCCTTCGGCTTTTTTGCAAAACAACGATGAAAAATCGATTTCGAGTAGGGTCAGACAAGGGCGATCCTACTCGCGCCGAGGGTCAAGACCGGCCCTTTGCTCGTCAGGGCTGATTCACTTCCCTGCCGTGCACTGGCGGTTGATGCAGACAGGCATTTCAGGCTGTAAAAAATCCCCGTCCAATCACAGCCGCGAAATGCGGAGTCTTAACTGTTGGTTTTGCCCTTCTCCTTCAATAAGTCTCCCTTTCTATCTCTCCTATTCTTGAACGCTGCCAGCTGGCCATTACCAGATTACGAACCTCTGATATTCCAGGTCGCTCTGCCGTGGTTTTGCCTACGGTCTCCTTCTTTCGCCAATACAAGAGCGAATCGGGAGACTGAACTGGTCATTTTAATTAAAAAAGACCTTCTATCTATCCCTACTATCCCGGATTCCATCCCTCCCAACATCTTATTTGCTCCGTCAAGCCTGTTTTGATATGCTTCATGTGTTAGGTAGCGAGGTGATCCTGCAGCTAGGGGAATGTACCCTCGACAAACATCCACCCTACATGCTTCGCTACAATTTCCTTATCATCTGGAAGAGGAAGAGCAGAATTTTCACACAAGGCGCGGAAGGTGCGAGCAGCATTTTGGAAGGATCTACTCCATCATGTTACTAATACGACGATCGAACCGGGCTACTTTCAGCTTCGATATGCTTCCATAGGCTGGAAGAAGAGAGGGAAGGGGGAAGGCACCTACTGAGAGTACATAATCAGCCTCTTGTTTCATTAAGCTGCAAGGGGTAGAAAGGCTGTTGTTTCGGCCGTTGTACAGTCCTGTTTGCAGCCTCTACAGTACTCCGTACACAGCTTAGAAATATATAGCAGCTGGTTAATATTCTGGAATGTGTTTTCTAGACAACCAGCGATAACCAGTGATGAATCATAAGACACGTTAGTAAGAGACGATAGTAAGCATGCATATACAACAACAGCCCGAACCCCCTAGAAAATTTCCAGCACAATGTGCTCCTTGGCTGAATAAATGAATGCGTTTGGCTCGGGACCATGTCTGGGGTTTAGAATAAGTGACTGTACGGAGTATAACGAGAAAATCGGTTGGGAATCAATTTCAATCTAACTTATGTACCAGATGGCCGCCGCTTTCGACTTTTATATCGGTCATTTTTCTTGAAAAGTTTAACGTCCCTTAGCATACCACAATAGTCAGGCTCACTAACTATAATACTACAAAAGACAGGTGCGTAAGTTAGGAACCGAGTATAAAATGATTTAAAATGAATTTCTGTCTCGGTCTATAGTTACTATGTTGTTAGACTATACTTTTTAAGGGTGATCAAAGCGTTCCTGGGGGTGTTTCATCAAAACTCTAATCTTCGACGCCTATGACGATATGTTTGACCAAGATATGGTGTTATTAATCGCAGCACTGACGACCGGCAGCCATACGCTTGAAATTCGAGGTCTGATCGTGACGCGAAGATAATTTGAAGTTCACCCTAGCCGCCAGGAACAGCAATCCTTAGAGTTAGAGGAAATGCGTGATAAGGCTGGCTGCAGAACAGCGTCGATGACAGAAAGGATCTTTGAGGCATGACCTACAGAAACCACAAGGCTGTGAACAAGAGATAATGTCATGGTCCAAGTGATTATATACGTGCGACAGTATGTATAGTGCGGCCGACAGGGAATACTTGCCAAGGTGTCTACCGTAACATGGAGCATATGCATTTGCTTGTGGTAACAATCAGTTACGCCCCCTTTCAACATTGCTTGGAACGATCCCAGAACACCATCCGCATCGACTTCGCACAGCGCCCGAGGTTTCTTGTTTCAAGTATGTTGCGTTTTCCCGATCATCGTCACGTTCCTCGACACTAGCCCCAACACGGACTCTCTTCTTGACTTTTTGTTTGACCACACCCCCGATACCCTCGATCTCCTGCCGGAGGTAACCTGGTTCCTCGTCATCCCGACCATCCGAATGCGAGAACGAGCTAGAGTGACGGAGATGCTCGAGGGAGCTCTCATTAGAACTATCCGAACGGGAAAATTCCGAAACCCAGTCTCCGGCTTCACAGTCCACCTCTACCTCGATGTGCTCCGCAGCAAGACACCTTTGCTCAAGGCCACACTGCACACCCTGACCACAGTCTCCATACCCGACCCAGTGACCACCTCCTCCAAGAAATTCATTGTATCTGGTGCGCCATGACCAGACACGCTGGTAAGTGACATCTTCAGCCCTTAAGTGTTGGCCACAGGGACGACAGTACCAAGCATTGGTATCACAGGTGCATATATGTAGACCGGAAGTTTGTCCATTTGCGGAAATCCCATTTTTATGGTTGCTCAAGGGCGCTTCGATGCAGGTAGGGCAAATCCGTCGCAAACGGTTTTTCAAGTTTGCCAGTGAAGGAGGCTTGGCCGTGCAGTTAA